TAAACAATTACATTAGCAACCAATTTTTGCAACCAAATAGCAAGCATTTTTAAAAAATGTGCTTTCATTTTGTCTCCTTTGAATGTGAGGACTTGCTTAAGTTTTCTTGTTTTTGTCTAAATGAAATGGCATCAGCAACCATTTTTATTTTTTGTAAAAAAATAATATTCAGCATTTTTGAAATTGCATTTTTTTAATTAATTGTTTAATTTATATTTTAATTGTGCAGCATTTTGGGTAAACATGAAAATACATTTAGCAACCAGTTTTAGTAAAACAGAATATTAAATAATTTTTTTTTTCTTTTTGTATATGAGGATTTGCTCAGGTTTCCTTTTTTACGCAGTACTTAATTGTAAAACGTATCAGTGAAAATTACTAAATTAAGCCATTTAATTTCACACACAATACTAAAAGTTCATTGCACTTAATAGAGATGTTTTTTTTTAAAGGGGTCATGACATGAACAATCAAATTTGCCTTGATCTTTTGGCATATAAGAGGTCTTTATATCATTATGAGAGCACTGCGAGCATCGAAATCAAATAGAAACCATCATAATCACTGACGTTAGATGCAGTATACAGATGCCTGTTCTCAATTAAACGTTATCCTATTCCTAACTCACTGGGTTTTAAAGTGTTTGGGTCAACCTGAAATGGCGTTAGCAATCATTTTACTTCAATAATGCGATTTATTTTTGCTGTCATTTTTCTTTTCTCTTTTAAATTTGAGTTACCAACTAAAATTTTATTAGAGCAAGTCATTTCATTTTGATGAATTATCTTACACATTTTTTTTTTTTTTTTGGGAGTCATGCAATAAGACCATTGAATGTGCGTGCTGTTACAAAAAATGTGTTGTTAAATGCACTGTAAGTCACTTCGTATAAAACAAATCTGCTAAATTAATAAATGTAAATCAATAAATTGAAAGCTGTCCCGATTAACTGCTTTTTTTTTATTTGGGGGGGAAAAAAATCAATGATTGGGGTGATTTTTTTTAGGTGAGTAAATCAGCATAGAAAATAAACAAATTACAAGCATAGACAAATATAATAGAACAAAGGTACAAATGAAATAAACAGTGCTTTATATTTTTCAGGTAAGTTTAACAGTATTCAGGTACAGAAATTGAATAATCAAATGTAAAATAACACTGCATAGTCTTCACTGTATAAATTAAATCTAATAAATCTGTGTTAAAGCTACAAAAGTGATTTTTCTCTGTGTATTATTGTTTGATTAACATTCATGACAGAAAGCAGGAACATTAAACTGCTGTGAACCAATATACTGTTACACATCCATTTTCTTTCTCAATTGTTTACCTTCACCTAAGCCATTAGCAACTGTGTTTACAAGGATACTAGCAGAGACATGCATTTTGACATAATTTCGCGCGTGTGTCATTTTAGGCACAAATAGACGCGAAAGTGAACGGAATTCAGTGTTCACCTGCATCTGCGTGGCTCTCACTGTGTCTACACTGGACGCGAGCGGCGTGACGCAACAAAATACTATGAACCCATTATTAGGGCTGGGTATCGAGTTCGATACTTTTTAGGCACCGACCGAATTGCCTCGATACCATCGAGTATCGAAAAACGTCTTGTCGTTCGGTACCAAATTTCGATACCTAAGGGGTTAATCTCATCAGCGTCAGTGAGCCAATAAGTATGGGAAGCCAAACAACCCAAATGTGGGACGAAATGGCGCGGTATTCAAGTGTTCCGCGACCGACTCGACAGCGCATAGAGGACGTGTTTTCTAGCGCCACCGAACTGACAGCGCGGCGCTGCTCAGTTACAACAGCGCAGCGCGAACATTACTCTTCTTCTTCTTCTTCATGTTTTATGGCGGGTGGGTATCAGTATTTTTTGAACGATACCCAGCCCTACCCATTATAATCAGTGATGCTGTCTGCACTGGATGCAGCCCGGCATGACACGACAAATCCCAGACAGTAAACTGATGTTCGTTCTATTTATGACGTCCTGACACAAAGTTCAAATGATTTTCAAAGGTCGCTTTGTCACGTCCAGTGTAGACAGACTTTAGCTGTCGCGTCCTGTGTAGTCACGGTGTCTGTGTGTGAGCAAAGAAAACGATCAGTATAAATATGACGATCAGTAAACATCGCACATCCTGTCGCGATACCGATGCTGAAACGATATATTGTGCAGCCCTATTGTGAATGCCCATAATAAAGTAAGTTAGAGTTTGACTCTCAAAGGACTAAAGTTGCTTAGGCTGCGTATTTTGTACATTGCACTAGCTATCGTCTTGTCAAGACTCACAGGAGAGAGAGGGAAAGGCGGTAAAGCTCAGCGGCTGCAGCTGCAGTGGAGTCATCACAGCCAGAGAGAGAACAGGCCAGCTCTGTCTGCATCACTGCTCCTGCATGCATGTGATCAGCTAACCACCTATGTGCCAATCAGAAGGTTTTAACTGGGTAAAAGAGGGCAGAATGTCGCCTGTAGCAATCATAAGGAACCGTTCCATCATCTCCTCCTCCTCCTCCCTGTGCTGCCCACACTTGTCTCCCGTGCAGTCGGAGTTTTGTGCTCTTCGTGGAGTGTGTAAAGACATTTATGCACTCTAGGGGTGCTTTGGAAATAAAAAGCATGCTCATGATTTTAGACATCACACTCTGACAACAAAAGCGCCCGTAAAAATGAGACCATGCGATTAGTACATGCTGTTCCTGACTGGAACGAGATATCAAATCTGTGTGAAGCCGTGCTTTTTTCCGGTAGTTTTTGCAGTCTGCTAGGTCTTAGGACAATCACTTTTTCGTCCTTTTTTCTTTCACCCCCCACACCTTTTTTAAATGAGGCAGGACCTCAGCATAGTCTGTGTAGCTCTGTTCCAAGCTCTAGTGAGCTACTGTCTTTATAGACCCTACTAGAAAAATCCACTTAAACCAGCCTAAGCTGGTCTTAGCTGGTCTGGCTGGGAGAACGGCTGGTCACCCAGCTAAACCTCATCTTGGCCAGGCTGGAAAACAAGCTAGACCAGTGGTTCCCAACCGATTCTGCTACAGGTGCCAGATTTAAGATTTGGCCAAAGTGAAGTACTAAAATTGTTTATATTAATGTTTTTGAAAAAAGTCTCTATGCTCACCAAGGCTGCATTTTTTTGATAAGAAATATAGTAAAAATATTAGCATGTAAAATAATTGTTTTCTATTTTAATATATTTTAACAGGTAATTTTCAGCAGCCAGAATTGTCAGGTTCTTATTATTTTCAATGTTAAAAGCAGTTTTTGTTGCTTAATATATTTGTGGAAACTGTAATACATATTTTCAGGATACTTTGATGAATAGAAAGTTTGAAAGAAGAGCATTTATTTGAAATAGAAATATTTTATAAATGCCTTTCCTGTCTTTTTTTAATGTATCTTACCCCAAGCTTTTGAATGGTAGTGCACAGTTTCTACAAAAAATATTGTGCAGCACAATTGTTTTTAACGTTGATGATGATAAAAAATGTTTCTTGAGCACCAAATCAGCATATTAGGTTAATTTCTGAAGGATCATGTGACACTGAAGACTGGAGTAATGATGCTGAAAATTCAGCTTTGCCATTAGAGTACATTAAAATACTAACAAATAACAATTATTATAAATTGTAATAATATTTCACAATATTACTGTTTTTACTCTATTTTTCATCAAATAAATGCACCTTACTGAGCACTCTTAAGTATTCTGCTCACTAGGTTTTATAAAAGAAATCATGTATTGATAAAAAAAAAATGATACACATACACATTATTTCTCCATATCATTAAATCTTGGCTACAACCTGAGCTTCAAAGACCATTTGCGATATACATTGTAACAAAGAGCTTAGCATAACACACTGACCAGGCAGACAGGAAACCTCCCCCAACTGCGCCACTGTCCTCTTTTTCTGGTCCACACCTTCACCCCTACCTTTTTCCTTCCATCTCCGTCCTGTTTTTCTCCTCCTCTTCTGTCGGCTGTTATATAAAAATGGTCTTTAGTGGGCTTGACACAAAAGAAATGAAGAAACATAACTGGAAATAGCAAGCTTCATCTTGAAGCCTTAGCTCATATAACACGTTACTTATTTTGAGGTCTTGCAGATGAACAGACCTTGTTGTTGTTGTTGTTGCTAATTATCTGCAATTAAATCTCCAGTTAAGTTAGCTGAGCTAGAATTAGTACAGTAGAGACATTAAGCTGATTATATTATCTGACATTTTAATCAGTTTTTTTTAGGCCTGTATTAGGGCTGGACAATAATTCAATATCAATATGTATCGCGATACCTGTATATGCCATGCTGCCAGTTAACTGCAGCGCTCTAGTTTTTGGTTCAAAGCATTATGTGCCATATGGCTTTTTATTCCAGATTCTCTTAAGCAATTAACCTTGGAGCTATTATATCAGATTGATCTCAATTAGAGCTTCATTACAGCTTCATTCCACAATACGGAATATCATTTTTACAGAACAGCTTTTTATTCTTTTGGAATCTGGAAAAAGGCTGATCAGACAAGAACAATTATGACTATTCAGACCACTGTTGAATGACATTTGAACAAATGGTTTCCCCGTTTTAAACAGCAGTGTGTTGTGTTGAAGTGTTCTATGAGTCCCCCTTTCATCTTTTCAATTCATTGAAAAACATATCCACCAAAAAAATAAAAAATGGGGAAAGAAACATTACAGCATATTTATATACTTTCCCTCATTAGAGGGCCCCCAGACATGTTGTGCTTCTTCGCAGCAGTGAATTTCGACAGATAATGCATTCCCTCTTTGGGTTTGAATGTTTGTTTTTTTTTGTGATATTTACCCCTTTAGTTCAGCTCCTCATTAGCATTCGAGTAGTGTTTCTTCTGCATAAAGTAGCGGCTGATTTATTCAATAATTTATTAATTGGTTAATTAATCTTTTTGAAACAGATGCTTTAGGTTGTAATCCCCCATGCCTTGGTCCTGTCGTAAAAAAACAAGCCTGTCCTTGAATTCATATTTCTTCAAATCCTACTTGTCATTCTTTGTCTTCACATAATTTGATTTTGAGCCTTGTTGTAGTTTCGAAATAATGGCGGTCATCAAATAATAGCCAATCCTTTGTGTCAGGAGCATTATTCTCATCAATCCTGTCCTCCCCTGATAATTTGTTTTCATCAAATTTTTATAGTTACCTCATTTGTTCGTATCAGCCTTTCCTAAATGTCACCCCCCACAAATGTGGAGTCTTTTTTTCACTATCTACACCACACTTTCCTCCAGGTCTCTTGGATTGACGGTCATGCTACTGTTTGAGTTTGAAGTTGAGTTGGAGTTGGAGTTGGAGAAGTTGTTGGAAGCAAAGGCATGTAGATAGTTCTGCGTTAGGCCGTGTCCGTACTGCTCGCTGCTACCCGTGCTGGACGTGCTGGTGGTGGAGGCACAGTGGACAAGCATGCCATGTAGGGACTGGCTACGTCGGGTCCAGATGACGCTCAGACGCTTGGCGTAGCTGTAACACGTGGTGGTGGTGATTTCACCCACGTCAAAAGAGCAGCTACGCTTGGTCTTGAGTGCTTGCTTCACGTCTGAGCCTCCTTCCCTTCCGTCATCTCCATCTTGTGCCAATGCAAGCGAGGCCAAGACTTGTCTGTCCACGTCTCTGTCTTTCTCCAGAGACTTCCTCAACTTGAGCCTACCTGCTCGCTTTTGTGTCGGCATTGGCAGTGTGTTACTTGGGGAGTAATAGAGTGTCAATCTCTCACTTTCTGGTGTGAGAGGACTAAAACATTTTTCCCTCACTACCCCGTCTCCCCTATCGCGTGTGCCATGGTGTGGCTCCGGGCTCTGTTTAGGTTTCGGGAGAGAGCTGGGCTTGTGTTTGTCATTTGTTCTTTGGGCCAAGAGTCCATTTGGCAACGCCACCATCATCATACTGTTGTTTCCGTTCGTCTGGGCGTAAACATCCACCCCTTTGGCTGGAAAGAACTTGCCCGGCCTGTTGGCATCGTCCCGACACTCTCCGCAGACGCGATGGCGCACCATCATGGCCACAGTGAAGACCAGAAGGGTTACTACCACCACGCCACCCACCATCACTGTCAACGTGCCGCCCAGGAAGTGAGCGTGCAGAGAACGACATTCTGCATAATCCTCTTTAGTGCTGAACTGGATGCAGCCCAGTACCTTTGTAGTAGCCAAGGAGGAGATGCCATCATCGAATATGGCCAAGACGCACAGGCTGTAGTCTGCTCCTGACACCAAGTTTTTCAGCAGGAAACTATTATTGGTTGGAGGCAGAATTCTGATACCAAATAGAAAAAGAAGAGAACATTTATGAGAAATTAAACATCATATCAAAGAAAATATCCTGACAGAAATACATTAAGCACAACAACGTTTTGTAGTGAAAATGGCTTAAATCAATACCCTGCAATGAAGGGGATTCTAGAAATGAGCAAATTAAGAATAAGCTACAGATGTTGTGGATGCGGCAGTCTGACAAGCGGTGAAGCATTTTTACATTAAAGCTAAAAGGGTGCCGACATGCTTCTTGCCTGAAGGACTCCTGCCCACACTAGTCTTTACAATCTGCCATCTCTGGCAGAAACAGTGTCCGTACAGTACTCTTTAATAGACTTCATTGACTGTGTCCAGTGCATTTGCTTTGGCTGCTTGGTATATACTGTATGTCTGTAATGAAAATGCTTTGGATGGCTACACCTGATTCAAGTCCTTAAATTCACTTTACTTTGAGAGGTAATTGGCGGTTACAGCAGAAGGACCTTGAATAATTTTCAGTCTCCTTTGCACTAGTTTCAATAAGCTATTTGCCTCCTTTCTTTTCAGATTCAAGAATATTTTGTTGAGATTCGTCAATTGTATTCATTAATTAATTTATCTTTCCTTGAGTCTCCACCTCAGTAAAAAGAACTGTGGTGTTATTGAATACGTGCTGCACTGTAAGGAATAAAAGACATTTGAATTCACATTCATGTAGACTTCTCTTATTTTTGAGCTCAGTGTGTCACTGCATATCAATGAGACATTTGCATGCTTATCTGCATATTAAATTTCAAATTCTTATGGATGATTTGAATTACAAGCCTTACAGGAAACATGTCTTAATGATCTGATGTTAATGAAGTCTTAGTTGTTTCTTTATGAATTGTGTTGGCCAGTGATATTGAAAATGAATGATTTGATAAAAAAACAAACTGAGAAACAAAATTGTTTTCTGTGGTTATTGACATTATGCCACAAATGCTGTCAATAGAGTTTAACTTGTATTGAATGTGGAGTGTCTCTTGAATGTGGAAAAATATCTAGGAAAATCTCTCTAGTTTAGCAATGCACTCAAGGTGGCCAGTCAATGTGCATTAATGTCTGTCTTCTGGCCTAGAGTAGCTTATTGTGTTTACTCTTACAGATTCCTGCATGTTGATGGGAATAGCTGTAGTAACAGGTCCATTATGAAGATGCCTGGCCTCCCACTCATGTACTTCTCTGCCTGCCATCACTCAGCAACTGCTGCTACTTCTGCTACCCTCATCCCCCTCTCTTCGGCCCATCCTCCTGTATCTATATATATATATATATTTCTCTCCTTGTCATCCAAACATGCCCCTCACCTTCACCATTTATTATTGATCCCAATTTATTATTGATCTCACTGCTCCTTTCTTTTGTTAAGCCTCTCAATGTATGTCCTTACCATGCAAGAATTGGTTATTCTGTGCATGTGCATTGAATGTTGCAGCTCTCTTCAATGTTATTGAGTTGAAGAGCCTCTAGTAAGGTTGTAAAGGGTAAGGAAAAGGTAATGAAAAGGAAGAGTGAAATAAGCAAATCAAATCGTAAAATAAAGGCTACCATGAAGGAATTTCTGTTTTCATGTCTGTAATAGGATATTTGCATGCAAACTATGTTGTTTGTGCATCCAAATACTACTGCACAATATGCAAAAAGTATCCGTATTCATGATCAGTAGTTGAACAATACCCAGATGATGTACTGCATCTGCTGAGATTCTGAAGTGTGCAAACAGTGGACACTTCACTATCCCATGAGAGAACACAAGCTGACGAACCATCAGACTTGAAAGATGATAAAAAGCCAGGTGGCATCTTTGTGTAGGTACTGTTTGTACAGAGAAACTTTCTTTTGATTTAGATATTGTTAAATTAGCAGCCAAATAAATAGTTTTCTTATTCGTTGTTAGTGTGTAAAAGAACCAAGTCAACCACTACTGACTTCTTCCACCTGTCTAAGAAGAGTTGGTGTAAGCAACTCCTACAGCCCTTCCCTTGTGACCTGCCCCATCTCTCTGTCCCCCTTCTCTCTACATTTAGATCCATTTCACTCTTCCTGATTCTTTGTGACACCATCTTCAAATGTGTAGGTTTTGCCCTTTTAAAGGGTCCATCCTGTTTTCCCCAGAGTCAGCAGGTCCTCTCACTCCATTGCTCTGCTTTCTTTACCCCTCCCTGGCTATAAATAGCTGCCTGTATCTCTTTTAGCCTCATGGCTCAACTTGAATCTTCTATCCGCTTTGGGGTATGTCTGTTTCCTTTGGCCTTATCCTTCCATCAATATCTGAAGCCTAAAATCCATGAACATGAGCACCAAGGATGTTTACATGCATTCACTTGAAACGCATGAAAACCAAACACTAAAAACCAAGACATCATTTTCTCTTCTCTTTTTTTGTCAAAAGTGCTGCAACAATACAGAAACAAGATATCCTTACCTGTAAATAAGTGCGTCATCAGCTGTGCTGTTGTACTGGATCTGATACATCCACACTAAGAAAGGCATTGAAGATCGACCCATTTTCCAGCGAATCTGTGCTGAATTGGATGTCACACCTAGAACTCCTACCAGGGTTTCTGTTCCTCCATTACTGCTTCCACTTCCTCTTTCTCCAGTATCTCCCTTGCCTCCAGTGGCATTCCGTACAGTCACTGCACCAGTCCCTGCCCCTTCAACCCCTCCACGGCCACTACTAATATCAGAGGATCCAGGGTCTCTGTGGTTGATGAGAGTTATTGTACCATTCCCTCTATGAGGAAGAGGGATGATCTTCAAGTCTACCAGAGCTGTGGATTCCCCTGCAGCATTGATGGCAATGCATGTATAGGTGCCATCATCTCTAGCACGGGTCACCAAAAAATCCAGTGTGCCATTATAGTATGAGCGAATGCGACTAGAGTTGGCCACAATACGGTCATCTGGTGACACCCAATGAATGACTGGCTCAGGGTCACCAATGGCTCGACATTTAAGTGTGGCTCTTTGGCCCTCCAACACCCACAGCTTGTTGGTATTACGGGTGATCAGTGGAGGCTCACATGTGAACTCTTCCTCTGGAATGGACCAGAAGTATCGACCCGCCAGATGAGTAGGTGTGGCACACGTCTCCATGTCATCTTCCCGAGTCAGTCGTCGTAGCCACAACAGCTCACAGTTGCAGTGCAGCGGATTCCCCCCAAAGTTAAGGCTGATGATTGAATTGTACGGTGTTGGACTGACAACCCCAATCTGGGATCTGGAAAACAGTGGATCAGGAGGAAGAGTCTGCAGTCTGTTCGAGGTCATATCCAGTCGGGACAGTTTATAGAGCTCACTGAAAGAACCCTCAGCAATCTGGTCTATTAGATTGTGATCTAGATTTAAGGTGTGCAGGCTAGCCATATTCTGAATAGATTCCCAAGGAACCCTGCGAAGGTTATTGTAGGAAAGATCCAGATCCTCCAGAGTTAGCAGGAAGTCATCAAAAGCGTCCTCCGAAACATCTGTGAGCTGATTGTTGTTGATGATGAGATGCTGAAGGTTAATAAGACCTGTCAGATCCTGAGGCCCCACCACTGTGAGACGGTTGGTGTCCAGGTGAAGCGAACGCAAACTCTCCAGATCAACAAAGGCCAGTGGTTTCAGAGCATGTATGGTGTTGCGTGACAATGTCAGGTCAACTAGTCCTGTCATATTGGCAAAGTCTGCACCTCCCACTTCCAGGATGTAGTTGTCAGCAAGACGCAGCTCCACAGTGCGGCGATCAATGTTTGGTGGCACAAAAAGAAGACCTTTATTCACACACAGTGTGCTCAGAGACTCTGATAAGTTCCGACACACGCAATGGATGGGGCAGATGGACACCATGCCCCATGTCTCCCCTGCCAACACACCTTGTCCACTCCGCAGCAGTATGGAGCTGAGGAGACCCAGCCAGAAAATTGTTGACTGTAGCATGGGACAGGGGCGGACACTTGTTGTGCTGACAGGGATAGATGAAGCAGGATATCTCCTAGGTTGGATCCATTTCAAGCTCTCCTGTTCTTGCAACAGATTGGTTCCTCTAGATGGACTCCCTGGTTCTGTGCGTGGCATGGTAACCAGGTTGTCCACAGACCTGTGTAAAGAGAACAAACATTAGAGGCTTCAACTCAGAACTGGAAGAAGTTGAGCACTCTCTGTCTCCCTCAGTCCTAAGCCTGCTAGTCCATTCACTAATCCCCTGCCCAAATGCGGTTATCCATTAATTGCCACTGAGACTTGGTGTTATGCCTAGTCATTCATCCAGTAAAAGCTCACTTCATTTTACAGTGTATCAAAGAGGAGCTTATCGTAAGCCAATCTACCAGTGTCCATTGCTTCAAATTAACGGTGTACCTGGAATCCTTTGTCAGTTGTTTAGATTTCAAGGCATTTATCATGAGCACAGCAAGTGCAGCAAGAACTTTAAACTTTTCCCCTGGTTTGTGAGCGAAAGAGAGACTCGATTTAGCTGCCAGGGACAAGCCACAAGATGATCAGTCACATTCTAAGTGATGAATGCCTTGGCTGTCTTCTCATCGCAGATGTGAGATTATGTGGCTGTTGTTGTGGCTGTGTGTGCAGACAAAGTGTATCTATTTACCCAAGTCTTATGTCCTTCTGTTTGTTCTCCTCCCTGCTGCTCCCTGCTCTCCTACAGGGGTCTGATTACTCCATTAACCTGATACATAACTGTCTGTGTGTGTCGCACACATGGATAGAACTGCTCCAAACAATCAGTGCAACGACAGTAGGGAGCGACACGAGCTGCAACGAGTGTGTAACTGAATTTTAATTGATTTCACAAGACCGAAACCCTGTGATATCCAATGCACAATTGTCCTTAAACATTTGCAAATGCTTGACTTGGTTGAATTAGTCCATCAGTCGCCGTCAACAAATGCTGCAATGTTATGCTGATGATTCAATTTGTTGTTTGTGATTTTGGCCAGTTCATTTCAGTCTTACATAATGGCTCCAGTATCACTCTCGCAAAGCAGTTTTAAAACAAGAGAGTGTGTGTGCAAGTGAGAAAGGGAAAGATGAAGAGATAAGATGGGGCAGCGTAGGGAGTAGAGTTATATCCTATAAATAACCATGTGCAATTGGCTCAAAGCTGTATGTGTGCAAATTTGCTATAAAGAATGAATACACCGTCGAATTCATATTCATTGTTCTGAATCTGGAATTACACACTGTAAATATCCTGCAAACAATTGACAAACCTCATGGGCTTCTTTCTACCTGCCAGCAGTAAAATATTTTGTGCATGGAGGGAAAGGAGAAAAATTACTGTCATTTTTCATACCTGTTGTGTCTGTTTCATTAAGATTTAAAATGGTTTCCAATCCTTTCGGTTCTTTTATAGACAAACTGCCCAGCTAGTCCCATCATTGCTTCAGATCAAAATCCAGAGGGAAACACTGTGAAAATATTCAGGTGTGCTAAGGGTCGATTTGTTCCTCATAGTGAATCGCCGAAAATCCTAATGATGTGAATTTGATCTGTGGTCAAATGGATGACTTACTGACAGTCACATCCTCACTGCCTTGCCGTTCTTTTCTTCGCCATGAGTCACTGCCCCGTTTCCATAATCCTTAGTGAACCTCGGTTAAATGGAATTGGTTATGTCTGGGTTGTTTTTTTCTTGATTTTCATTGTTTCCTGTTTCATCCAAAATTCTCTTTTATTTCACAGCATTATTAAAGTCAGAATCCAGTGAAAGCTTGTTTTATTCAAATCATCTTTTATTTGCAAAGGTGCTTCCAGTAGCAAGTGGCTTCCAATCCATTTCATCTCGGAGTGAACTGCCAAAAGAAACAAAAATCCATCTTAATAAATATTTAACTACTATTAAAAGCTCACATTCCTTTTTTATCAGCCTCTTTTTGTTCTCTCATTTCTCTTGCATAGACCTTTAGCTCAGATGCCACATCTTTAAGTGGAAATCATGCTGTGTATCGTTCATGTCTGTTTGCTGATGTCGGCGTCTTACACTATTGAGAATCTTAAATTAATTGATTCTTCCTGTAAACTGGCACATTAAAGCAAATAATCCAATTAGACCTGCTTTCAAGCAGACCCTGTGGGTCTGACTGAGCCAAATATGTGTGTATGTGTGTGCACACTCTTGTCTAGATGGACTAGAAGTCTATACACTCAATTTCACTGCATGATTCCCTCTTTATTTTTTTCTCTCTAAGCCAACCTGAACTCTTGTAGTCTTTCTACTCTGTCTTAACTCCTTATCTCCTTATCTCTGTCTCCACTCCTCCTCAACCTCTCCTAAATACCCAAAGAGTGAAGTCAAACATATACCAACCTTTTTTATTTCCAAATTCCTTCTTATGTCCATCCAAGAGAACTGCTGCCCTCTCCAGGGGTCCCTTTCCCTCTACATCCTCTCAGGTTCCTCAGGGAGGGATTTTGGGTAGCATCCTCGCCCCTCGTTTCTCTCCCCACTGCTTCTTTTGTTTTTACTTTTGCAAACGGTCCAGGGAATCCCTGCCCTCAAAGTAGGAAACCATCACCTACAGGCACGAAGAACCTTCATATAACCGTGCGGTTGAGTCCCCACTGATGTCGCTTATTGCCATCAATCAATGCCTTGTTTTGCTCTGTATTCTTGAACTGCGCGAGTCTGTGATTTGTTGGTTCTGATGCAGAGAGCAAGTCGATGTGAGTGCAAGCGTTTGCGACTGCAATGTGTCTGCTACAGCAAGGGCAGAGTGAGCGGGAGGGAGGGAAGAGAGAACGAGAGAGAGAGAGAGAGAGGGAGGGGAGAGTGGCAGAGCCTGAAGCAGTCTTGGCTCTCGGTATGAGGGGAGAGACGAAATGTAAGGGTAAAGGCAGAATGGGAGTGCATTGGCTGACTGGGGTGTGAGGTTGGATCTGGAGAGGAATTGCTTAAAGCTTTGTCCCTCTGACAGTACATTTTTAACAGCAGGGCACCATCAGTCAGCAGACACACTAAGAACTTTTGTCACCAATTCTCCCACAGAGCCAGTTTTCATCTTCTGTGAATGCAAATTCATTATATATCATTAAAAATGGATAAGAATAGCTGATTTTGAGAACTTTTGAGAGATGCATGGGTTGTTGGAGGTGGGCAACAAGGGTATTCTGATGCCCTTGACAGGATATGACATGGCTCCAGCCTTATCCCCAAAACAGCTTTGTTGACTATTTTTGCTTTTTAAGTGAGAAAATACCTTAAAATTAGTGAAAAATTAAATAAAGTGAAATTCATAAATGCATAAACTTTCAAATATCAATGAAAACAGTAACACCTTTGACAGTAATGTTCAATTTGTTAACATTAATGTATTACAGTAGGTATTACGAACTAATAATGGTTTTTATTACTAATAGTATAAAAATGTTATGTACTATGTTTTTAAATCATTCATATTCATAATACATGACATAATGTTAACTTGAAATGTTAAAATGTATTAGTATAATAGTTTGGGGTCTGTCAGATTTTTTAAAAAGATGTTTCATGCTTGCCAAGGCTGCATTTATTTGATCAAAAATACATTAAAACAGTAATGCTCTTTTAAATGCTATAATTTCTGTTTTAATATATTTTAAGATGTAATTTAGGGCAAAGCTGAATTTTACTGAAAGACTGAATTACTCCTGTCTTCAATGTCACATAATCTATTCAGTAAGCATTGTAGTATGCTTTATGCTCAAGAAGCAGTCCAAACAGTTGAACACATTTGTGCTTCCTTATATTTTTGTGGAAACAGTCTTTTTTTTTTCAGAATTCTTTGATGAATAGAAAGTTCAAAAGTACAGCATTAATTGAAAGCATAAATCTTCTGTAACATTATAAATGTCTTTGCTGTCACTTTTGACCAATTTAATGCATCCTTAAAAGCATCAAAAAATAGAAAGTAAAAAAGAAACCCTACTGATTCAAACTTTTGAACGGTAGTGTATGCAGGAACAAACATTATTAATAAATGCTGAAAAAGTATTGCTCATTGTTGCTGTTGCATTAAATAATGTTAAGAATGAATGAATCTTGTTGTAAAGTGTGAGCCTAAAAACAATGTCTTGGTCCAGTGTTATGACACTTACTGTTGATGCAAGCGATCACGGTTCAAAGCCCACTGTCTGTACCAAATCATGAGAGAGCCGTTCTTATAAGCTGAGCTGTATAATCATCTTATGCGCGTGGGGCTAATACAGCTTTACACGGCTAGCAAAGTTGAGAAGTAGAGAAGGCGCCAAAGATGTTCAGTCCAAGTTACACTTTTTCTCAGTTTCTCATGTTCTATCTCTGATTCCCGTAATCTTTGTTTTTCTGGGCTCTGTGATTTTAGGTAAGCATGAGTCACTCAGTCTTTATGCGGGTCTATATATAGAGGCCTGACTGCATGCAAGCACAGCTAAGCGGACGGCACGCAACATTGCCAGCGGCCCACTGTAGCCCAGCTCCACACGCTTGGAGCATGTAACCGGTGGGCTCAGAGTCTGCTAAACCTCGCTGCGGCTGACGTATCAGACTCAAGATTTGGCCGGCGAGCCAAAATCAGTCTTGGTTCAGTTAAATCATGTTTCAAAAAATGACAGATCATGAATAATACATTTAAGTACCATAAGACAAATATGAATGATTCATGTGTGTATGTACATTAAGAAAGAGACTGCAACTGCTGGATCCAAGCCACAACTAATTGTTGTGAAAGAGTGATTCCAGCAGGGGTACATACACCCCGGGGGAAACTTAAGCGGGTTACTGTAAGATTTAGTTTTTGGTTCTTGAACCTATAGGAGTGAATTTACAACTTAAAATATTAAGGCTTGAACTAATTTATTTCCTTTTTAAGGAAACTAAATAATATTTGTGGTTTGACAATTAATGTGTACATTTATTCATTTATTTTGTAGTAAAATATGCACTACTGTTCAAAAGTGTAGGCTTAGAAAGGCTTTTTTTGGAAGGAATTTAGTATTTTTTATTCAGGAAGCATGGATTAAATTGATCATAAGTAAAGGTAAAGACTTTGTACATTGCCCCCCCCCCAATAAATATACGTTTTAAATATTTAAAAATTGTACCTTTGAATTATTTATCAAATAATCCTGGAATACATGTGTCTTGGTTTTCACAAAAATATTAAGCAGCACAACTGTTTTCAACAGTGCTAATGATTGTAATAAGAAAACTTTCCTGAGCATCAAATAGCATACTGTAATAGCTGTATTTTAGTTTAATTGTATTGTAATTTAACAGTATTGCTGTTTTTACCTGTATTTCAAGTAAATGCAGCCTTGGTGAGCATAAGACTCAGTAGTGTATGTGTGTATATAAACAATGCAAATCTGCAGGATTTAAATATCACAATCACTGTTTCCTCACAATTTGAGTACTTAATCTTATGTACTATTTCTCAAAGATGTTCTTGCTGCTGGTGCCTTTTTCATTAACATTTGTATAAATGCTGATGGGTGATATTTCATACTTGTTGAGGTTTGAAAGATGAAAATAAAAATAATACAAATGTCTTGAATTTAATTAAACACCCAATGTGGATTTTACTTATGAATAAACTTGCTCCTAGGCCTTTCTCAGTTTCTCAGCCGATTGCCCTCAGAATTGTCAAAACTTGTGTAAGACTTCATTATAATAATAGTAGCTTTTATAGTAATAATTAGCTATCATGTGAATATAATATGAATACATTTCTAGTTTGTTGTTGATTAAGGCATAATTGAGTCTTTCTAATGAGGCTGTGGAGAGACAGAAGATTGGGAAACAGAGTAAAGCACAGTGGACTTAAGATATTTCAGCACCCTGGACAGCTCCAAACTCTGAGCTACTCAAATTGGTTAAATCTGTGAGACTACGTTGTGATATCGCCATCTGTACTTCCATCTGTCTTGTTATACAGGTCCCGTGGCTTGATGGTTGGCACTGTAACTGCTCATTTTAACCCTGTATTCTTCGATGTGGTTGCTCCTTATTTCTAAATGTAAAAATCCAGACAGGTAGCCTTGAATATATCCACAGCCTGTCTGTGCTTAAATGTTTAAACTCCAGTGTTTTCTCTCTCCCGCTCTCTCTCTTATTCTCTCTCTTCCCTGATTTTATCCAGCCATTGTAGAGCTTGTGGGCAACAAATTGTTTCCAGCAATACCCAGTGGTTTACCACTAAACAACACTGTCCAAGCAAAGCTGTAAAAAGACATTTCCTTTACCAGCTATGAGAAAGCTTTGATTATTGTGGATTTATGTGCATGCTTGTGCTCTTCGGCAGATGTGGTTGTAGAATCATGTTATTGAAAATCCCTTGTTTGCTCTGCTTTCCAAAAAATCATTAACTCTCTGTTATGTATTATTATACCATTGAGTAAAAAAATCAAACATCGTTTTTTTTCCTTTATATTTATAATAAATACTTTTTATTTAGTTATAGTTTTGTTTCCTTAAGGCAGCATTGAACCATAAAATTGAAACAATGGATGTTTTCGTGCCTGAAGTAAATTGCACATCCTTCTTTGTAATACGAATATAGTTATCTACATAATGTAGTATGATTCTAATAATAAGGTTTAATTCATGGTCAGTTTTTGCATTTCTGTTACTTAGAATATGGTCCTCCCTTCTGCATAAAGAAGAGACTCATGAATTGGACGTTGTCTTTTGGTTCAGTGAGTCAAAATTCGTTTGTTGCCTGGAGGCAACACAGTCCCATAGAGGGTTAAACTTGCTGCCCGTCAGCTATGGTAGTCGCAATGGTTTTCAGTACATCAGTATGCATCTTATTGTACAAGTATGCAAAGTCTGTAGCTTCAGACTCTTTGTCTTACACAACATTATGTACTTCATGTCTCCGGCATTGTGTCTGTATGTCTGTATAAAGTTAAAAGTTTGGACGCACATGATTGATTTTGTATTAAGACGTACAGTAAATTAAAGGAATAGATTACCCAAAAATGAATTATAAATGCACCCTCATGTCATTGCAAACATTTTTAACTCTGTGGAACATTTTGAGAAATATCTTTCTTGGTCCATACAATCGTCAGTGGTGACCAACACAGGTTTACTAATGTTCTTGAAAATATCTTTTGTTTTTTGTTTTTATTTTTCAACACAGAAGTAAGCTATTTTCTGTAAATGGCATGCGATTCATTAGGTATATAACTTAAGAATGACAAAGTACAGTATACAGTAAAACTATTTGCAAAACAAACCATTGTGTTCATGATTATTGTAACAAAATATACCAACATCAAGCAGCATAACAGACTGTTTTTGTACAGCTAACTGACACCAGAAGTCTTGCGCATTCAAGCCAGAAATGGCTGCGTCTGCTTTTACATTTAAAATGCTTACAGTTTGTTTTTTGAGAGGAATAATGTAAAAGTTTGGAATGAGGAGGAATCCTGCGGTCAGAAGAATCTGGGTCAGAGTGCTGGCGGATTAGAGCTGACTCTGTCCAACTCTCAGTTCTTGGGAGAAGATTTGGACTCGGCCTCTCTTTTGGTTCCTTTTCTTCCTCATCCTCAATGTCTCATTCACTTGTTCTCTTAAGGTCTCCACTAAACCCTTCCGTAGAGAATCAGTGTGTTATGTGTATGTATGTAGGTGGCAAGGGTGCAAAAGCCAAGTGCTAAAACTATAGAGTTTCAATTAACACTTTGCTTATTCTGTTAGTCTCTCACATCTGCTCCCTTTTCAACTCACTATCTCTTCAACC